AAATGTGCAGCTGGGGTTACTGTTAAAAGTTTATTGCAGTCATGATCTGTGATAACAGATCCAGGAAATAGAAACCAGGACATCCAGCTGTCGGTGATTCATAGAATCTGAAGCTTTATCTCAACTGATTGGACGTATTTGATTGAGATACACCATGTCAGGAAATCTCGCAGAACAAAATGCCTCTTGCAGATTGATGCGGCAGGTGTTCAAGTGAACCATTAAAATCCACGGAGTGACAAAGAGACATGATCACAAGGTGACAGCCACAACTGAGGCTCCTAGTCGCTAACCTGTACCTGCAATTCCCTGTCTTCCTCTTCTACCACCTACTAAATCCCTACATCCCTCCAAATCCCTTCTAGCGGGTCCTTAACTGTTCCCTGTCTGGATATGAGTCTCACAAACCCTCTGTGCATGCACACGCACACATACACACAAACTCTTCATTTTTCCTGAGGTTTGAATTTTGACCTGATCTCCACAGAGGATTGTAAGATTCATACAACAAAGAGAACATAGGTAAAAATATTTGGTGTTGGGAAACCTACTACTTTTTCCAGTTCTGCTCCCATTGAGCCTCACAGAGCCCTTCCCCTCTCTGTGCAGTTTGCTCATCTGTGAATGTCCATCTGCTTAGGACACAGGATGAGACACTCTACCCTTTTCCGTCATTCTCTGGCTTCATCTCACCTGAACACGGGGCAGAATTGTGAGCCTGCAAGCTTTGAACCTAGAGCTGGACAGCTGTGTGTCTGTATCCCAGCTGTGTGTGCACTTGTGAAAGCTCATGTGTACATGCCTGTGTGCATGTATCCACACATGGAAGTCAGAGGAAAACGTCCCAAGTTGATTCTCACTGTAAGGCTTCTAAAGACAGGATCTCTCTTATTTGTTTCTCTGATCAGCTACTCCAGGCTAGCAGGCTCACAAGCTTGCAGTCAGTTCTCCTGTCCACTTCACTGTGCTTTGGCTGGGATTACAGATGCATTCTGTTGCATCTGGCTGTTTATGTGGGTTCTGGGGATGGAACCCAAGCCAGTAGGCTTTGTGGTCAGTGCTTTTACTAATTGAGCCATCTCCCCCCAGCCCTAGTGGTGTGGCTTTTGAGAAAATTACTAGCATCTCTTGGACTCAGTTTCTTCTCTCATGGTTTGGAAAGTAAAATGCACACCTACAGCCCTGAAGTATACTGGTGAGAACCAGAGACGGGGAAATGGGAACTAGAGCAGGACTAAGGCATCATCATGTACATTTTCAAGACAGCTTTGGGATTGCTGTTTAGTCAGTGGGTGAAACAAATATTATGTTGGCCAGGGCCTCCAACCAGGAGCCTCAGAATCACACACAGAAGCATTCTGCTCTTCCCTTCGTCCTGGGCAACAAGGGGCTGGTCCTTGACTACCTGGGGCTCTCAAGTCCAAGGAGGTTTAATCAGTAACCTGAAGAGTAGGTGAGGGGAGGAGAAGAAGAAAACAAAAGCCCTGGTGCTGGTTTATTTATGCGACCGCCCTATGCCAGTCTAAGGGCAAAGTACCCTTTCCATGGCAACTGCAGCCAACAGACCTCACCAGCTTCAACTGGGACTCATGAATCTGCCCTTTAGAACGGACAGCTGTGTTCCCTTTCCTGTGTTCTCACACTCTCACAGCTAAGCCAAGACACAGGCCCCTCTGCGCGTCCTGTTCCTTCTAAGATGTCCCCAGCCCACTGTCTATGTCCCCTCTGCTCTGTTCAGGTGTTCAGGTGGTGCCTCCTCCTTAGGAAGCTCACCCTGCTCTCCTCGGCATCAGGCACACCCCAGGCAAGGCTCTGCTCGCTGGTCTCTGGAGAAATAAGCACTGGAAATCCAGGGTTTTCATCTTGTAACTAAAAACTGACCATGGAAGAGGGAAGGAGGACGAGGAGGCAACAATCCAACTGTAACCAGTTGAGGACATCATCGGCATGTGTTGGGGTGCAGGGTAAACGGGGATAGAATTCCTGGTTGTCAGCCCCAACTCCTAAGACAATGTCCTCTCGCCCTCACCAGTGACAGCAGGCTCAAAACCACCTGTGGGAAACAGTGGTCCTTTCAACCAACAGTGCTGGGAGAGTCAGTGTCCACATACAAAAGAACACATGGACCCGGCCTTACTTTCACAACTCAAAACAGATCAAACCCAGGAAAATAAAAGATACCACTCTTAAGAGAAAGGCTGGAGAGGGCTCAGTAAATATAATGCTTGCTGTGTGTACACAAGAGCCTTAGTTCAAATCCCTAGGCCCCAGGTAAAAGGTAGCCATACAAGGGTTTACAAGCCCAGCACAGGGGTTGGAGACAGCAGATCCCAGCAGCCAGCCAGTCTAGCTGAATGGTGAACTTCACACTCAGTGAGAGACCTTGTCTCAAAAAAATGAGGTGGAGAACAACAGGAAAAGACATCTAACAGTGATTTCTGACCTCCATATGTGCATGCATGAAAATACATCTCCATTCTCTTGAACTTTACAGCAAATTCTAAGAAATATCACCAAAAACATGAGCAACAAATACAAAATCGGTAATTCCACCAAATGTAAAACCTTTGTGCATCAAAAGATACTGTCTAGAAAGTGAAAAGATAAATGCTTGCAAGTTATGCACCTGATAAGAGTCTAGAATCCAGAGTATTATAATGAATTTTTCTTATTGAACAAGGAGACAAACAATCCAATTTTTAAGTCTTTATATGTAGGCCATATCAGAGGATAATGTAAGAGGGAAAAATAAATGTGGTATGCTAAAAACTTTAAAAATATTTTCTTTGAAGAGCAATCAGTTCAATGTGTCCTAACCCTATGAAAAATTTTTATATGATTGAGAAATTTTGGACAAGCCAAACATTAAGTTATCTGAATTTTTAAATTACATCATTTTTAAAGTTTTTTTATTAAACGTTGTAAAAGCATAATGGTTATTGGTTCCAAAAGTTAAACGTGTATGCTGAAGAAATGAAAGTAAAATGGTATAAACTCTAGGATTTGATTTATAAGACTGCTGAAAAAAATGAGAAGGAAATAAATGAACCAAGAGTGGCAACGGTTGCATTGCTAAAGTCAAGCAGTCTGCAGTAGTTTATCATGCACGACAACGATGCCATAGTTTGTGTGCAGAGAACGTTTGCTGGGATCCAGATTGGTGCAGATCCCAACCCTCCTCAGAGTTTCTTGAGGAGTTGGAATTGACACAGAGACCCACAGCAGGACAGCGTGCAGAGAGTGGGAGACTCTGGAGCACTGGGCCCTGAATGAGATGTCTTTATTCACCCCTCTGCTCAAGGCTCAGGATCTATGCAGAAGAGGGGAGTGAAGGCTTAAGAGCCAGAGGTGGGGGATGACTCTGAGGAAAGAGAAGCATCCAGAGGTAATGGGGCTGGTGCACAGAGACTATGACCGCATGAGCGAGACCTGGACAAGTCCAAGCCATAAAATCCCAGGACTCAGAAGGAAAAGTGGATACAAAGTCCCACCTCTGATCAAGAAGCTATTTACTGTTGATACCTACAGGGAGAGGGAAACTGATTCTCTCTGGTGGAGTGTCATGGGTACATGAACCCCTCTCCAGGACAGGCCTCATGCTTGGGGGTAGTTGGTCAACACAAAGCAGACTCCAGGTTTTTGTGTATCCTTTTCTTGTTCTTTGGTTTGGTACTTATTCTATATTTTTGTTTGTTTGCCTCTTTGATGTGGGGATTTTTCTTTTTTTGAAAAAGAGAAAGAATATGAAATTGGGTGTGTAAGGAGGTGGGGAAGATCTGGAAAGAGTTGGCGAGAATATGATCAAAATATATTGCATGGAGATTTTTAACAATTCCTTTAATTTTTCCTTGTGTATACGGAAGAGCTGGAGAGATGGCTCAGTGGTTAAGAGCATATGCTGCTCTTCCAGATGACCTGGGTTTAGTTCGCAGCACCCACATCGAGTGGCTCACACTTGAGAGGATCCAATGCCTTCTTCTGGCACGTGGATTCACACACACATATCCACACACAGATATTCAAATGCACATATCCACACACAGAGACATTCACATGCACATATCCACAGACAGATACCTATGCACCCACATGGCAGTTCACAGCTGCCTTTAACTCTAGTTCCAGGAAATCAAATGATGGGGCCCCAAGAGTGCACGCACACACACACACACACACACACACACACACACACACACACTCACACACACACTCACATATGGAGGGGATGGCACGGGGAGAATCAGGAAGGCAAAATACCTGTATACATAAATTTTAAATTAAAAAGAAATATTTAAAATTTATTCTTGTAAGTTTAATTTCTTAAACCCCACATATAAATGAGATCTTGAGCATCTATCATTCTGCACTTGGCTTATTTCATTTAGCATAATGGCCCCCATGTTCACCCAAATCGTCAAATGCTGAGATTTTTTTCTAAGACTGAACAGTGGTGTGTGTGTGTGTGTGTGTGTGTGTGTGTGTGTGTGTGTGTGTGTGTGTGATAAATTTCCACCTATACTTGCTGACAAGTACTTTGGTCGATTTTATACCTTGACTACTATAAATTAGACTTCAATAAACCTGGGAGTTTGGTAGTTCTTTTACACGCTGATTCCATTTCCTTTGGATATATTCCCTGGGGGTGGGATGGCAGCTGGTGTGACTTCTCAGCCTTCCTCTAATCTCCTCAGAGAAGCTTTTTCTGAACTTTCGTGAAGCTGATACACTTTCAGTTTACACCACAGTGGAGGACAAGGCTCCTTGACGCAGAAAACAGGACTTTCCCCTAAGGAGCAAGAAGGCTAGCGCACAAAGTCCATAGTATGGTTGCTTCTTGGGATAATGAGAAGATGAGCCAATGGCAGCCTCCCCTCTCCAATCCCATCCCACCCGCCCTGGCAATGCACTCACTAAGATCTTGGGATAGTGAGAAGATGAACCAATGACCAGTCTCCCTCCCGCTTCCCGTCCCACCCTGCCCTGGCTGGCAATGCACTCACTGAGATCTTGGTTAAAATGTACAGCAACAAGGACAGAACGGAAAGGTAGATCTGGATCCGCTTGCCTCCAAACCGCTTCCGCAGGTACTCTGGCATGGTTACCACCTGCATGGGATGAAATGGAGCCGAAGTGAACAGAGAGCCCAGGGCAAGCAGATGAATGAGGTCTATCCTGCTGTCAGAGCCTCAGGAGTGGTCAGGGATTCATATTAGCCCAGGAAGTCTACAAAACAGCCAGGTGCCATTTGCTTATTTCAGCTCCACATACCCTGTCCAGTAGAAGTAGGAAGGCCCTAGCATTCAGCTGCAGTATATCAAAAGGATCCAATAAACACATATTCTCTATCTAGTACACACATGACTGGATGTAACTAAGGAGGCAGATGCTTGCCCTGAAGAAGGTGCATGCAAATGCACATATGTATCTCTGTGTGTCTGTCTCCCTGCCTGTGTCTGTATGTGTTTTGTTTTCTATACAGTGCATCTACTATATGAGACAAATGCACATATGTGTTTGTGTGTGTCTGTCTCCCTGCCTGTGTCTGTATGTGTTTTGTTTTCTATATAGTGCATCTACTGTATAAGACAAAGGTTGCCTCTTGCCAATGTCCCAGAGAAGTTATCTGAATGTGACTGTCACCTTGTTCTACACAGGCAATACAAAGGATTGTAGCTGCAGGCCTTCCCAAGCATTCTGTTTGTTCCCTTCTGCAAATCCAGCCATACTTCTTGTTTTGCTCCCTATACCCTTAGCCTGTTGTCTTCTGGGACCAGTTTGTTACCAGCAATCTATGAGCCTTCAGAAGGTACAGTCTGCAGAATTTGTGCTGTATCACCTCTAGCTCCCGATGTATACACTCCCATGGAGGAGGTGCTTATATATGTTACTGAAGAGGTGATGATGAAGCTATGTCTGGACAGGCCCTAAAACAGGAGGTGATGTTGTGCATAAATGAAGAGGGGGGCATAGTTCCTTTTCTCAATCTGTTTCCCTTCTAGTGGAGGAGGTAGCAAGCTCACAGCAGTGTATCATAAGAGCACACTTAGAGAAAGGGTGGAGGAAGCGTCAGGGAGCTCTGAATAAAGTAGGGCTACCCAGGGACCTTCCTAGATGGAAGAGTAACAAACCTGGACTGAATAGAGCCAGAGGGACTGTTTGATGCCCCTACACAGAATCAGGAGCATTTTAAAACCTAGGACTGAAGGTAGACCTGGACAATTCTGTCATTTATGCCATAAAGTCCCCTGTGGCCTCCAAGAGGACAAAGTTGGATAATGGAGTGGTTACTTACCCCAGCCTTGATGTAAATGGGGACAAACACCCAGCCCAGCACGACCACAAAAATCAAGGCCTGTAACCAAAACAAGAGGTAAACTCAGATCAGGAGAAACGTCCACATCTCTGCTTTTCTCAAGAGATGCCGAACTGCTATAGAAAATTCCCACCTCCATCTCTCTATCCCGTTCTTCCTAAGGGGCTAGGATAGACTTTGCTACTGGCTTGGTCTATGGCCAAAGCATGTGAGCAACACTGGCTGAGAACCCGGGATGCTGTCCATCAACACAGCCCGGACTCCCCACTGTCAACACAGCACGGACTCCCAGCTAGAGTTCTGAGTTCTCTTTCATCTCTTCCCTGGTATATAATGAATAAAATACCACTTAGAGAAGAAGGGAAAGAAAGAAGGGAATGAAAAAGGAAGGGATGAGGTAGAGAGGGAGGGAAAGAGGGAGAAATGGAATAGGAAGGGAAAAAGGAGAACCAGTAGCATTTCCCTATCCCTAACTTGGCTAGAGGAGGCCTTGTCTTTGAGGACCAAGGGAAAAGGGGCTCCTGCAACTGTCATAGCAAGCGGGCATCTCATGTGAAAACTCCTGGAGTCAAACCCCACTGCACCCAGGTGCTTCTGAGGATCCCATACATCTCAAGATCCTGAACACAGACTGAGCTGACTGCCTGCTAAGACTCCGCTATAACCATATACGGGAAGCTTGGTTCTTAGTGTAGAAAGGAGGTGGCACTTTATGAGGTGGCAGAGCACACTGGGACATCCTTGCATCCTTGAGAGCACTGTTCAGAAGTGACTGAGGTAATTCTAAAGGGACTCCTCAGCTATTCCCAAGGGGGGATTTTTACAAAGCCAGTCTTGGTTCTAACCTATCTTCCTGAGTGAGTAATGTCCCTCAATCATTTGCCACTGACGTTCCACAGGCCAGAGGGAGCCTCACAAGAACCTGTACCATGCTGTTTAAACTTCAGCCTTTAACTCTATTGTCTAAAGAAGTATATTTTCTTTATAAAGTTAAGCTGTCTCCAACATTTCATTATAGCAACGAAAATGGAACCGAGGACTGTTAAGTTGGGAGCATAGAACCCAGCCCCTGGCATTCATCCCAGCCCCCAGACCTCAGAGTTGCTTTGGTCTGGACTCCAAATTTCAGCATGCCAGGTCCTGACCCTCCCTAGATAGGGGTCAGGACCAGTCCCACAGGGTATTTAAGTGGGCTCCCAGAGGAGAGCATGTGGTTTAGGGTTTGCATGGGCTCCCTGTTGTCCTGTCTCCCGGCCACGCACTGGGCCACCTGAGAGCATCTTACTTAATAAAACGATGGGCATTTTGATTTGGTTTGATTTGACCTAATTGGACTTTTTTTGCATTGGCAGAGCTGCCCTTTCCTTATTTTTTCTTAACAAGGACCAGCTCCTTCTACCTCTAGGACACGGAGCCTCTGGTGTTACTCACGATCCATTCAGAACCACCCATGGCGATGCCTGAGGCTGCTCCTGTCCCCGCCAGTCCCACAAAGTGACCACTTCCAATGTTGCTGGCAAAGAGAGAGGCTCCAATCTGGAAACAAAAAGTGATAAACAAATACAGTTAGGTAAGACACCCTGGCTGAGACAACGGAAGAAGAGACATGTCCACCAAAAGAAAGGACTTGAGCAATCAGAGATCAGTTGGGTCTTGACTATGTTGAAATCTGTAGGACAAGATCCCGCAGCAGGCATGGGGACTTGGGAAATAACAAACACACAGAGAGCAGCAGGTCACATCGACATTCACATCTGTCGGGCATTTTTGAATCTGATTTAACTGTGAGGAGGCTCTGGGAAGTCCCCCAGCCCACCAGGGTGCCCCTGAGTCTCCTGGGACTGTCTGCTCAGAAGCAAGGCTGAGCCTTTCACCTCCACATCCTGTCAGACCAGGTGACAGGGTCTAACACAGGCTCTCAGTGAGTGCAGACGATGCTCTTGAAGGCAATCATTTAGAGACCCTTGACCCCAGACTTCTTGTCGAGAAAGAATGCAGAGCTGGTGGCTTCTGTGTGGTTTCCTGACACAAAATTTTGAGATTTTTATGTGTTCAGAAATAACACAAGAGACTATTAATGATAACTAGTCTCTAAATCCACACCATATTGCCATTTTCTTCTACAAAGGTCCTGGAGGTGCCCCAGGAGCAATAAAAAAACCACTGCATTTTTCAAAAACACACATATATATCTGACAAACAATTAAGAGGGTGTTCATTAAATCCCCAAGAGTAGGGGATGGGAGGATGAAACTGAAAAGGGGGCTGTGCATGAGAACCGAAGGAGAAAATAGCGACCTGGGCGTGGAGAGATGGCTCAGCAACTAAGAGGACACATTGCTCTTGCAGAGGCCGCAAGTTCAGCTCCCATCACCCACGCTCCAAGTGGGAATGAGTGCAGGCCTGAAAAGACCAGAGTGGCTGGAGTGTGCTGGACAGGGCAGGGTGGCATGAGAGTGGGCGGGAATGTCAGGAGGGGCTGGGCTTTAGCCAAGACAGGAGTAGATTTCTTTCTTAGTGTGAAAGGAAGCCTCTACAAGAATTTAAGACAGAAAAAGAAAGAAAGAAAGAAAGAAAGAAAGAAAGAAAGAAAGAAAAAGAAAAATGTGCTTTTAAGAACTGTTCTAATTTGTGCAAGGAGTGTAATATTGGGGAAGCCACCTCTGCAGCTTGGATGGTGACTTGGTCTAGGTGAGGCAAAGAGAAGCTGGGGACTGGGAGGCTATGCTTTAAAAACTCAGGCAATAGTCTTTGTTGATGGATTTGTTGAGGGAAGGCATAACCACGGCTGACAAAGTGAATGCCACACATCTAGAAGAGGAAACTTGTAAGTGACATTATACAGACTGAGCAGCAAACATACATACACATATATGTGCATAACAGCAATCAATGAAAAGGAGATCAGGGATTTGCAAAAGAGCTTGGAAGATGTTTGGAGGGAGAAAAGGAAAGAGAAAAATGATATAATTATAATATCAAGAAATAAAAGTGCTAAGTTTTTATAAGAATCTAAGGGGCTATATTGTTTAAAAATATGTTCCTCTTTCTGACCAAAGATTGGTGAAGATAATAATCCAAAAATAACCAGATTTTCCCTCCCCTTAATGTCCTTTAAAATGCTCCAAATATGGATCCCCCGCCACAAGAGAAAGATTACTCCAAGAAAATATCGTAATTGGGCCAGTTCCCCATCCTGAACCAATATGTGCTCATTCGTCACCTCTCACCTGATTAGTTATTAAGCCTAGTGCTTTATAGCTGAAGACTTAATTATTAGAAGTTATTACCTGAACTACCTCACCTGAAATTCAGGAGACTTCTTTAATGTCCTCCCGCTACGGGGAGACAGTGGACATCAGGGCATCTCAAGCTGTCCTGATGTCCACTCCTCACGTCTGAGAAAGGGATGGAATAAAGTCAGGGGAGTATTGCTGGTACTAGAACATTTTGGGACCGGGTTAGGTTCATCTATGTTAAGAGCACAGCTTTGGCCTCTTTCTAGACTTGACCCCACCCCCACCATATTACCTGTGCCTAATCATCCACAAAACCCTGACTCTGTCTCCACAATGTTATTGACATCTAGCACTTTTTTGTTTTGTTTTTTAGGATCTGGCAAAGATTTTTTTCCATTCCCTGTCTTCTAAAGTAGACAGATTTGCCTGTGAAACAGCTGACTTTCGAAGCACACACAATTTAAGTACAAACAATGGGGTTGCATCCGGCAGGGTGATGAAGTGCCCACAACAGAACCGACCACCCAAGCCGGGCTGGAATCCTTGTGGTGAGCAAGAAGAGAATGGTTGGGAACCGCACAGTGGGGTTTGTGAGTAACCTTAGCTTCTACCTGTTACTTAACAATTCACATAGCACGAGGTCTCTAAAGATGACCTGCACCCACTTATTGAACAATGTGGCATTTTCTACTATGTAATAGGGTTAAAAAGTCACAGTCTTCCTTTGGGATGAACCCTTTAATGATTTTGACATCATTTACTCATTCTTTTGAAGTATAAAGTGTCTTAACTGCATTGCAGCTAATTGCAGATCATTTTTAAATACACCATTGCTACTATATTTAAATTATTTATATCTAATATTCAAAGAAAATTTACTAATAAATGCTATAATAGACATTGATCTGACATATTGTTAATTGATCCCACAGGTATAATTATAGGTCATGATTTTAGAGTCTATTCTGTCTCACTGAGTCAGGAATGCCGCATTCACAGACAAACACATGTGGTGCAGACACCCGAGGATCATGCTCCTCGGTTAAATGGTGCAGACACCCAAGGATCATGCTCTTTGGTTAGCTCAGACACGAATCCTCACTGTGTGAACAAAAGTTGGATGCAATTCTTCCTCAGAGGAGCAAGAGGGAGCTGCCAGGTGCCCTCCAATGTAGATCCCAAGCCAGTCTGGCAAATGAGATAGCAACAGAGATGAAGAAACACCTTCAGGAAGTCCGAGGAGAAAACGCCCCTCTCTTCATAAAGCTTGTGCTTCTCGTGCTGAGAGTAGCTGTGTATTTCAGGTGTTTTAGAAGGAACTCCTTGGGAGTGAGGGGAGGTGGGTCTTTTCTAGCCAACTTGACCAATCTGAGTTTTTCTTCAAGATGCTTACTTCTCTTCTTCTCTTCATATAATCTTCCTAGACAGAGTGCTCTTTCTCCCTTCAAGCTGTGGCGTCTGTTTCAGCTCTACTGGTACCTTGTGGTGTGTGGAGCAAGGAGGACTGTTATGTGAAGGCTCCTGGAGATCCTTTGTTCAGATTTGTGCTGACCATCCAGCAGTAGTTTCTCTCCACATTGCCATTATACATAGAGATGGAGGCTGGAACACTGCTCCCGTTCCCAATGCTGAAGACCAGGGCTACCCTGGAGTCCTGCAGGCTGCAGATTCTCCTGCCTGCTAGTGACACAGTGGCTCAGCAAAGGAGCAGGAACCCAACTGCGGCAAAGACACAGGTTTCCATCTCATACATTCTACATCGCTCTTGGCTGCTTGCTATTGACTGCCTGCCATTATCTCCCAACAAGACTATGTGCAGGGATGGGGGGAGTGGAGAGAGAGAGAGAGCATGCATGTGCATGCATGCACATTGTGGGAGTGCTAATGGTGTGCACATTAAGGCCAAAGCACAACCTGCAGGAATCAAGTTTTCTTCCATGTGGGTCCTAGGGATTAAACTCAGGCCTTCAACTTAGCAGTAGGTGACTTTATCCACTGGGCCATCCCAGCAGCCTTTACAACAGTTTTCTGCATCATTTCATCTCTCCCTCCCATGCGTCCCCCATCCACCCACATGCTCAGTTTCCTCTGCAAAGCAGAGCTCTCCTGGATCCTCTCCACCACCAGCTCCTGTGGACCTACTAAGCAGTGCCCTGTAAGCTCCAAGCCCAACAATAAATCCTTAGGTACTCAGTAAGAGGTCAAGGCTAATTTCTTCTGGCACGAAGGTGCTTGAGCTTCACATTTGCAGTAGAGATTCTTTTAGAATCTAGGAACTCACAACACTGAGAGCCTCCCTACTGCTCATATTACAATTACTCAGAAGGCAATCAAGATGGTGGCTTCCCAAGACTGTCACGGATCTTTCTCTAGTGGGTATCCATTATCTCCCATCTCACCCTCAGAGGACAACTTCTTGACCCTTAAAGACAATGTAGATTTCAAAGCCTAAAGTCCAGTATGACTTTATTTGGAGACAGGATTATCTCAAAGTTTATCAGGTTAATGAAGTCATTCAGGTAGGGTCTTGTGATAAGATTGGTGTCTTTATAAATGGAAGAGACGATACCAGAGATCTTTGCTTTCCTCTCCGCTGCCCCCCTCCCCACACACAGTGAGGCCATATGAAGACTCAGAAGACAGCAGCTATCTGCAAGCCATGGAAAGAGTTCTCACCAGAACCAGCTCTGGCAGCACCAAATCTTTCCAATCCCTCTCAGCACCGGCTCCTTGGCAGGGGTCCCAGTCCCTCTAATGCCCATCACTGTGAGAAGAACTGCCCCTCAATTATTTGGACCCTTTACCAAGGACAGCTTACCTCGCACTGCAATTTAGATCCCTGATAAAGACCAATTCAGTTTTTCATAGCACAGTGATTCTATCATTAAAATTTTCACTTCGGTCCCTCCAGGGGTTGACACAAATGGAATGGTTTCCTGTGAACCTTTCTGTAAGGGAGAGCAACTTACACTCAAAGGAAAACATCCGGCTGCATCACTTCTCTCTGTTCTTAATGTTAGGGCTGGAAAGGAATGGGATTACACCTATCAAGACAGGCGTTGTTCAATGACAATGCCTTCAATGTGCAACTCAGCCCTAGGAATGGGCTCCTGGAACCAGAGCCGCTCACAGGGTCTTCTTCTCCTCATCAGCTCCACCTGGGGCTTTTGAGTCTGCAACGTCTCAGTTACCACCCAGACTTACTGCATTCGAGAACTAAATCCCTCCGGGTGATTCTTACCCACAGCGGAGTGGGATGAGCCTGCCTTGTCCATATCCAAAGCCATCACTTCTCAG